GGAAAAAAAGAATCATGAATTTAGATCTGGAAGAAAATCAAGCCACATCCTCCTCATTTTATACGTAAGGACACTGAGGCCTGAATGACTTCCCCAAGGTCATATAAGTAAGTAGCAGAGGAATAGTGTCCAGGGCTAGGAAGGCGACAGTCCTGCTTTATTTTGCCCTGGAAAGACCATAAGGTAATAATGCTTCCTATTTGAAGTGTTGTTTCCCATTCTGAGTGTTACATTTTAGTATAGGGGGCTGATCGGGGCCATGGGTTATATCAGGAAGCACAATGATAAGAGAATAACTAGAAAAGGGTAACCAGAATGGTGAAGTGCCTTGAAACCATTTGGGTTCAATTAAATGAACTGGGGATACTTAGCCCAGAAAGGACATGGACAGGGGACATGATAGATGTACTCAAACGATCGGTGTAGAAAGCTGCTTGGGGTGAGGACTGCTAGAGAGTCAAGATGACAAACTGGACTTCATTCTGAGAGGGATGAATCAAGATGGTGGAGGACTGGAGACCATGCCATGCTAGCACCAGATGAAGGAACTGGTGATGTTTTGTTCCATTTAATTCAACAAACATTTATTAAGCATTTATTATGTGTAGACTACTGTGCTAGATACTGGGGATACAAACAGAAAAACCAACAATCCCTGCCCTCAAGGAGCTTCCATACTGAGGAGAGATAGTTTACAGGGAAATAATAAGTATACAGAAAAGCAAATTAATATGTGGAAGTTCATGATGCATACATATGTATTTATATAGTATGTATGAAGAAATACAAAGGGGAGGTTGGGGAAAGCACTAACCACTGTGAGTGTGTGTGTGTGTGTGTGTGTGTGTGTATCAGGAAAGGCCTCATGTACTAGTTGCTACATGAGCTACCTGAAACTTGGAGAGCCAGGATTTCCAAGAGGCAGAAGTGAGTTCGAATATTCCAGACACAGGGGTTGGGTTTTGAGGAAAAGGTGATGAGTTCCCTTTTGTTCATATTGATGGGACATGCAAGAGGAAATTCTAGCAGGAAGGAGGTAAAGAGGGTCTGGAGCTAAGTAAGGGCTAAATGCATAGGTTAGAGAGTCATAGGAACGAAGGTGATCATCGGATCCATGAAAGCTAATTAGGTCACCAAAAGAGAGTGTACAGAGGAGAACACAGCACATGGTATTGTGGTATACCCAAATATTGGGGGCAGGACATGAATGCTGATCCAACAAAGGAAACTGAGAAGAAATAGTCAGACAGTTAGGAGGAGACTGAGGAGGGAGTAATGTCACCAAAACATAGGAGATGGTCAATAATGTCAAAGGTTGCAGAGAGGTCAAGAAGGATGAGGATTGAGAAAAAACTATTAGATTTGGCAATTAGGAGGTCATTGCTAACCTTGGAGAAAGCAATTTCAATTAAGTGGTGAGGTCAATACTTGGATTTCAAGGTTATAAAGTTTTAAGAATTTGGCTGTAAAAGAAGGGAAAAGAAATAAAGCCAAGGAAACGATATACACAATGATTACAACAATGTAAATGAAAAGAACCATTAAAAAAAATGAATGTCGCAAAATTTCAAAGAATAAGCATGGCTCTAAAGAAGAGATAGAAGACACACCTACTCCAACCCTTTGCAGATGTAGGAGGTCTATGATCGCGGCACATTGCACATATTTTTCAGACTTTTTGAATGTATTGATCAGTTTTGCTGATTTTTTTTGTCTTTAAAAATACTATTTGTTATATAGGATTACTCTGGATGAGAAAGGGAAAAGGGATAACAGAAGAAATTATAGTGTCATTAAAAAATGTCAAGACTTATTAAAAAAAATTTTTAAGAAAGAGAGAGACCAATGGATAAATGATCAAAGGATAGGAGCAAACAGTTCTCAAAAAAAATTGTGAAAGTATCGAAATGGAGATCATACTAGCACCCACCTCCCTGCATTGTTGTTAGGATCAAATGAGAAAATCTTTGTCAAATGCTCAGTGAAGTGCCGGACACATGGTAAGTGCCACATAACTGTTAGCTATTATTATTATCAAACCTATGAAAAATTATTCTAAATCACTGATAAGAAACATAAGTCAAAACAACTGTGAAGTTTAACCTCAGTAAATTGGGAATAGAATTTGTTCTAGTCAGAGGGGCTGCAAAAAGATGGGCACACTGTTGGTGGAGCTGTGAATCACTTTGGAATGATGGGGAGGGGGGAATGGCTGAACTCTTCACACCCTTTTGCCCAGAGATCTTACTCTATTAGGTGCGTACCTTCAAAGAAGTGAAAAAACAGAAAGGTCTAGCATAAAATAGTGATGGAATATTGCTGCTCTGTAAGAAATGACAAATATAGGGGGCAGCTAGGTGGCAGCTAGATGGCGCAGTGGATAGAGCTTCTGCCTTGGAGTCAGGAGGACCTGAGTTCAAATCTGGCCTCAGGCACTTGATACTTACAAGCCGTGTGACCCTGGGCAAGTCACTTAACCCTGATTGCCTCACCAAAAAGCAAAACAAAACAAAAACATAAATAATTCAGAGAAGCATGAGAAGACTTAGATGAACTAACACAGATTGAAGCAAGAAGCACCAGAAAGAAAATACGCGGATAATTACAGCAATGGAAATAGTTAAAGACCAAACACTATATAATGAAAATAACCGCGCTCAGCCTCTGAAGAGAGCTGACAAAGTGTGCTTCCCTCTTTTCTTTGCAGAGGTGGGGAACCACGGGAATGGAATATTTCCTTGGCTCTCAGATACAATGTTTCCTTTGGTCTTGCTCAACTGCTTTTTCTCCCTGCACTTAAAATATTCTATTACCAGAGATGGCTTGATAGGGAAAAGAAAAGAATATTTTTAGGAAAAAAAAAAGGTGACCATCAAAACGAAAAATAAGATTTTGTAAAAGGCAAAGGATGAAAAACAGAACATTTCAGGATACATGATAAGTGTCCTGAAGTATTTGATGGGTTATCATGAGGAGAAGTACATGAATCCTGCTTGGACCCAGATGGCAAAATTAGCAAAAATGGAAGTTGCAGAGAAAGAAATGTAGGCTTTGTCTACAAGCTTCCTAACAACAAGGATTAGTCCCAAAGTGGAAAAGCAGTCTAGGAATAGGGTGGAGGTATGTTGTAGAGGCTATCATGTTTGGGTATGAGTTGGATCCAATATTTCTGAGGCCCCTTCCAACTCTGGGATTTTTATCCCCAACTCAGCTTAAAGAGAGGTTTCTCTTGTGGCAAGCCTTCAGCTCCAGTCTTGGCCCTCTCTGAGCTTCAGTGCTTCTCTTAACCTGTTCAGGCCACATTTTGGCATTTATCTTTAGTTACCTGACCCTGTTTCCATTTCCTATACATTGTTTTTTTTAAGTGAGGCAATTGGGGTTATTAAATGACTTGCCCAGAGTCACACAGCTAGGCAGTATTATGTGCCTGAAGCCAGATTTGAACTCAGGTCCTCCTGACTCTAGGACCAGTGCTCTATCCACTGTGCCACCAAGCTGCCCCCATTTCCTATACATCTTAAAAAAACAAACCACATAACCACGTTGTTCTCCTTGGAAGATCCTTCTCTTCCTCATCAGAACTGTCTAATCAGAGCTTTCCATTCCTCTGGGGACAACTTCCCCTGCAGAATTGTAGAGCAGGGAATCCTATCCTTTCATCTTTCTGCCCAAATCAGATGATGTCCACTATCCATGGCAATCTCTAGAACAGGGTTGGGGAACCTGCGGCCTCAAGGCTACATGTGGCCCTCTAGGTCTTCAGTGCAGCCTTCGACTGAATCCAAACTTGGTCCAAAAGGCTGCCCTTGAGGACCTAGAGGGCCTCATGTGGCCTCGAGGCTGCAGGTTCCCCACCCCTGCTCTAGCAGGATAACCCCCTCCCAAGGCTGTCGTCATTTCTACATGACAGCTGGTTCTTCGTGAGTCAGACGGAGTCCAGAATAGGAGCTTCCCCTTTTCTCTACCTTTTGACGAGGCAAGGCAAGGGTTTACTCGCTACTTTGCTCTGGGCAGACAGCTCCCCAGCAGAGGTGCTGTGAATTGTTTTCTTCCATCACTCCCACAGCATGCTTCCTTACCAGGTTATTTATCTGTTTCCCACATGTAGCCATCTTCTGGCCAGGTGATCTTAAGTGTACTGTCCTGACAAATACCATGTGTTTATCTTTTCATTGAGTCAGCTTGGTGGCACAGTGGATGGAACTCTGGGTCTGCAGTTACTAAGTCCTGAGCTCAAATCGGGCCTAAGACACTTAGACTACCTATGTGAGCCTGGGCAAGTCACTTAACGCCCATCTGCCTCAGTTTCTTCAACTGTAAAATTATAATAGCACCTATCTCCTAGAGTTGCGATGTGTATATACATATATAAAATATGTGAGTATATATACACATATATCATACATACATGTGATATTTATAAAGCACCTGGCACATAGTAGGCGCTTAATTGTTCTCCCTTCCCTCTTCCCCCATTGAACTTCACCCAAATGCTCTCCACTATGACTCCCATCCCCCTCTCCCCCAACTGGGGATTCCCTCCCTTAAGATAGCTTAACAATGCTCTTCCTCAGCAGTCCACTTTCTCTAAGGTATTAAGCCCTGTAATCTGCTCCATTGGGGCACCCCCATCCTTCCGTAGCTCTATTTCTATATATAGCTCTATAAGTTACAGCAGAACCCAGTGATACCTCTCTCTGCAAGGCAGCCTTTCCTCCGTGGGTTACAGTGTCTGGTTGCCCATGGATATTACAGTGCTGAGTGTTGCCCCTCTTGGATTTTGTCTCCAGTGCATGAAGGCGTCTTTGCACCGAGTGCCCTTCTCTTGTGCCAGCTGTTGTGTGATAGCTGACTTGGCACCTAGATGGGCAGTTCCTCCCCTCTTAGTTTTCTGTTTAAAACCCACTAGGTCAGATATCACCACTGCCCCTGTGACAGGTCCAGAGAGCCTGGAGCCCAGGATGCGTAACACACACTTTATTTATATGTGTACATATGTATACAACCCACTGTACAATCTGGTGCCGCCCTCCAGTCCTATTTACAAAGGTCCGGAGGTGGGGCAGTGTCAGGGCCCGCCTTCAGTTCACTGACCCCTTCTTGGCCAGGCCTGGGCCGGGCACAGGCTCGGTAGGGAGGCGGGTAAGCAGCCCTAACTCACTCTTAGGGCCTGGGAGAGCTGGGATAGGAAGGGCAGCAGGGACTTGTGGATGCCCTGGGTCAGAGCCAGGCCCATTCCTAGCGGAAGGTGGGGATGGAGCAGGGGCAGAGCCTGGGGGCTCCGGAGAGAGTTTGGGAGAGATGGATTTCGTTCGGGGCAAGCTCAGTGTGGTTCTTTCTTCTACCACCTCCAGGACCCAACGCTCCTTGGCCACCCTCCCTCCGGGGGCCTCTGGGGGAGGCCTACTGATCTCAGACTTGGGCTCCACAACAATGGGGACAGGGGGCAGGTCACTGCCTGGGCCTCCCCGTGGGGAGGTGGCTGCCTCACTGGCACTGCTGCGTCTGCCCACCTCGTACTCTTGCACTGGGCTCAGGGCTGCCTTGGCCAAGGCCCGGGCCGCCCCACCTGCATCTTCTGTCTGCACCCCCTGGTGCCTTGTGCCTGCCCCTTCTCGGTCCAGAGTCCGGCCTGGGGGTGGTGCCCTGGTTGGGCAGCCAGGAGGCATGCAGCCCCCTGACCATGGGGGCTCCCCCCTACTGCTGCCCACTTCCCTTTCCTTGCGGGAAGACCCTTCAGGTTCTGGGACTTTGCCTGGACCAGGAGGTCCCGGACCAGCAGCTGGCTTTTCTTCCTTGGGACCATCACCCCCCCGTGGCCCAGCTAGGAGCGGGTCTCCCCCACCCAGACTCAGGGGTGACTCTTGGCGGCCCAGTCGCCTCATAGGTGGGGGGCGCTGGGCCCCAGGCCCTTCAGCAGCAGCAGATGCAGGGCCTGTCTCGCCCTCAGCCTCAGCAAGGCTATGCAATGCCAGCTCTCCATGGAAGTCCTTGCGGAAATCAGGGTGCCCCACCTCCAGACTGTGCTTACGCAGCGCACCTTTCTTGTCAGTGCCCAACGGGCAGCCCAGCTTCTCAGCAGATTGGACCCTCTTAAGAAGTGGGGAGCGGGGGGGCTCGGCACTCTTAGGGCGTGGGCGCACCACAGGTGGAGACGAGTGTAACTTGGCGGGGAAGCTTTGGGTGGTGTGGGAGCTGCCCACAGTGTGGCCAGGCAGCGGGGGTGGAGATGACTGCGTGGGTGAGGGCGTGTGTGCCAGTGGGGACAGGGGAATGTTGCCAGCTGACTTGCAGCGGGCGGAGCGGTACTGCCGGTGCAGCTTCGGGGACAGGCCGTGAAGAGTGCTAGGCCGGATGTGGTGGGACGAAGAGGCTGGGGAGTTGGGGGTGCTGGAAGCCGGGGAGCTGCTTTGAGAAGAGGCACCTGCAGGAGAGGGAAGAAATTGTGGAGGGGAGCCTGGTGAGTCCACGGCCCAGGGTCCCTGCCACCCCCGTTCCCAGTCGTCCTCGGCCATGGGGAGGCATACCTAGGTAGGCCGAATCAGGCGTGGAGCGGTAACTGTGTGTGGGAGAGCGGGCAGGTAGGCCATGGGTTGGGGACCCAGGGAGGCTGTCGCTGGAGGACAGGGATCGGTTAAGAGAGGAGAGGGAGCGGCTTGTGTGAAGGAGGTTGGACTGCTTGGTGATCTTGCGGAACAGAGAGCTGCGCTTCCTGTGGGCAGAAGAGAAGGGAGTGGAAAGGCCAGGCCTGGGCCTGCGGCCCCAGAGCTACCCCTATTCCCACACAACACAATTAAAGATTATCTAATGCCCTCGTTTTACAGAAAGGGAAACTGAGGCTTAAAGAGGGGACTGATGATTTGTGCAGGGTCACAGCGATGAGACAGTGGACCCGTCTGGCTCCACCCCCCACCCTGCTCTGTGCGCCTACCCCCCTCTCCCCCAGCTGTTCTGACTCCTCAGGGCTTTGGCAGAGGACCCCTACCTCTCTTGACCCTCCTTTGCTGCTGGCCTCTTATTCCTCCTGGCCATCTTGGCCTTGTAGCTGCTGCGCCGGGCAGGCCCAATGCGGATGGAAGTGTTCTCAAAAGGCGTGGTCGTCACAGCCACTTTGTTCCCACTCTGCAGATGCCAGGGCAAAAAGGGCACAGCTGGAGATCCTCTGGAATACGTACCACTCTGGGGTACCCTATTCCCCCCTCCTTCTCCTGAGTCTCCTCCCCTATCCCATGGGAGCCCCCTCCTTTAGGGGGCCTTTCGTTTGGACCACACCAGCTCCTCCCCCATCTCTTCATCTCCCTGGGGGTGCCCAGCCCCTCAACACCCTTCTTTCCTCCTTCCCAGATCCTGACCTTGAGGATTAGCTCCACCACCTCTGGGTGCACCATCCCATGCACAGGCTCCCCATTGACATGGGTGATGAGGTCCCCTGCACAGAGTCCAGCCTCCTGCGCAGGTCCTCCCTCTTCCACGTGCTGTCAGGGGTGGGGGACAACAAATAGTTATTGGAATCTCCCTTCCGCCCCGTAGGTTTTATCAGGCCCTACCCACAGTGGGGCAGTGGGGCAGTGGGGCAGGTGACCTGGTGGCTGTCCCTGTTGGGAGGCAGCCAGAAGCCACAGCCACCCCCCGAGTCCCACATAGAGCGATCAGAACAACTCTCGTTTCTAGGGCCCTCTGAGATGTAATGAGCATTCTCCTCGCAAGTACGGTATAGTAGAATGAACACTGTCTTTATCATCTGAGCCCTGGGTCTGTCCTCGCCATGCATCCACTTACCATGCACGTGTCCCTGAGTAGGCCATTTTACTGCTCTCAGGCACAGTTTCCTCATTTGCAAAATGAGGGTGTTGGACCAGTGACCTCTAAGGTCCCTTCCAGCTCAGCAGCCTATGACCTTATGATAAAAGCCCTGTGGGGACGGGGGCACAAGAAGTATGAACCTCATTTTACTGGTGAGGAAACTAACGTGCAGAGAGACCGTGACTGGCCCAAGGTCCCATGGCTGGTACACTGGACCTAACCCTCGCTCTTCTCTCTCTAGGTTCTGCCCTTGCCCACTACTCCAAACCAGCAGCAGCAGGCTGTGTTAGATGAGCGGGAAGCAGAGGGGAGTTCCGGGAAGGATCAACTCTTTCCCAAGTGATCATTACCACCCCCACCCGGCTCCCTGCCCTCGTAGGCCAGACACTCACCCATACAATGTGGTGCACACTATAAACATCTGAGTCACCCATGTAGACACGGATAGCCCTGAGGGTGAAGCCGTACTTCTTGCCCGAGCGTTGGATAGTGATGGGGGAACGGAGAGCACTGACGGCAGGGGAGTAGTCACGGCTGGGAGATGAGTCCCTCGATGATGGGTTGGAAGAAAGTGACCGAGGGGACATAGGACTGGCCAGGGGAGAGCTGCCATGCTGGTCTACTGCGGACACGGGGATTGTGGGTGGTCAGCAAATGGTCGACACCATGAGGGAGACTGTCCTGCCATGCCAGGGGGTTCTGTTCTATCCTCGCCCTCCCAATGCCAGGACCTAGCCCTGGAGGCCAGCCCCCTGAGATTACCTGTGGGGATCATGACAGACAGAGCAGTGGCAGAGGCTGACTTGATGACCTTGCCCCCAGGACGTGAGGGCCGCTTCTCCGCAGGCTCTCCAGAGATCTGCTGTTGGTGCCTTGCCCGTCGAAGGACCAGGTCATTTGTGGCCTTGGGGGTTGATGGGTCTCCATCTTTAGGGGGTAGGACCAATTCACCTGGTTGGAAGCAATGGCCACTACAGCTCCCACAACTGCAGTGCCTTAAGGTTGCCAAGCACTCTCCTCACAACAACTCTGGGAGCTAGGGAATAGATTAATGTTCCATATTTATAAGTAATAAAATGGAGCCGTAGAAAGGTCCAGAGGCTTATCCAAGGTCAAAAGCTTGTGTGAGAACTGGGATTTGAAACCAGGTCTCTTGACTGCAGTCCAGATATCTTTTTATTACACCTTTAAGGGACAGTGTGGTGGAAGGGGGATGGAGAGAAAGGGGAAGAAGAAAACACTGTGACCCAATTGGCACCATCTTGAGAGGAAAAACTGCTCCCCTCTCAAGGAATTGGAAGCAGGGGATGAACCTGAATCCGGAGGCAAAGAGAGAAGTCAAGGGGGCTGCTAGGTGGCGCAGTGCATAGAGCTCCAGCCTTGGAGTCAGGAGGACCTGAGTTCAAATTCAGCCTCAGACACTTGACACTTACTAGCTGTGTGACCCCTGAGCGAGTCACTGAACCCCAGTTGCCTCGCCAAAAAAACAAAAGAGAGAGAAGTCATTCCCAGGACCCTTAGGATCACAGGATTTAGAACTGAAAGGAATCTCCGAGATGATCTAATCCAACTCTCTCATTTACAGAGAAGGGAACAGACCCAGAATGAGGAAGGGATTTGCACAAGGTCATCTAGCTAGGAAGAAGCTGAGCCCTTCTGCTGGGGGAAGGGATTAAACATTGGTTAAGCACCTACTATGTGCCAGATGCTGTGTGAAACATTTTACAAATATTATCTCATTTGATCCTCACAACAACCCTGGGAGAGGGGTGTTCTTCTCCCCATTTTACAGTTGAGGAAACTGAGCTGACAGAGGTTAAGTGATTTGTTCAGAATCTCACAGCTGGATTTGAACTCAAGTCTTTTGATTTCAGGCCCAGTGCTCAATTCCCTTTGCCAGCAGCCACCTGGGGAAAGACAAAAGTGCACACTTACCAGGCTCTGAGTCTCCAGTGCTGGGGGTGCTGTCCCCTGCAATTCCGTCCTTGGGGGCTCTGCTGTCTAGACTCCCAGGGGGATCAGAGCTAGGCCGGGGAGGCCTCTGCACCCTCCCTTCATCCTCATCCTCCTGGGGAGCACTAAACCGGCTGGGCTCCAGGAGCGCTGAAAAGCGGCGGCGCGCACCCAGTGGGGGACTGGCCTCCCCCTCCAGGAAGGATGACTCAGAGGCTGACAGGCGTTTGCTAGGGTAGGAAGGGCCAGGGCAGTCAGAGGCAATATTTGGACTCAGTCAAAGACCTCCCAGTTCTAAGTTGTTCCTACGTCCCAACATGGAGAAGAGAACCCAGAGGATGCCCCCGTCCTGCTCAACCCCACAGCCCCTAGCCTTCTTCCTGCTCTGGATCCCATGCCGATCTTCCAGCCCAACCTCTGCACAGCCCCTTGCCCCCCGTCCCCAGCCCAAGGTTCTGCCCCAGCTCACATCTCAGGGGACCCCCCCCTCCAACTCTTGTCGCGCAGGGTGAGGCCGCCCAGCCCCTCCCGCTTGCTGGCTGCCTTCTCCTCTTGGCTCTTGGTGCCAGCTTCCCGCTTGCCACTTGTGGGAGGTTTGGGCTCATGTTGGGACAGCTGTTCCATGCTGCTGTATACCTGGCAGGGACGATGGGTCGGCCCTCAGGATGGAGTCCTGGGTTTTTGCCCCCAAGCCCCGGCTGTGAGTACAGAAGGCAGCCCTGGAGGAGCTCCCACCTGCCCCAGGCACAGTGACGGCCCCTCCCCCATCTCCTGCCTTGGGGGAGGGGAGCTTACTTTGCTGAATCGGGGAGAGCAGGAAGAGAATTGGCGGATTTCCACAGGCTCATCCTCTGTTGTGTCATCTTCGTCATAGGAGTTGACGTGATGATACCTGTCGGAGCGGGCTGGGGGCCACACAAGTATTGGGGGCATGCTGGGGAGGCAGGGGCAGCTCCTCCCTAGCCCTGTGCCCTTGGGGTGAGGGGGGCCCCCTCCCCCCTCCCTCAGGTCCCAAATGGACATGTCCAGAGAGTGGCTTGGTCTGGGAACTCACTGTCAAAGTAGCTAGTGTCATCCTCTGACTCCAGGTTGGGGATGAACTCTGCCTTCTGCCGCAATAGGCCAGTCCAGTCCAGCTCTCGGAAGAAGCTGTGCTCCTTCACTTCAAATGCACCACCTGGGGTGGGGGTTGACAGTAGGCCCTAGGCAGGGGGCCTAAGGGCTGTCCAGGCCTTAAGGGGGACACCCGATGCCAGGCAGCCCTCCTTACCTGCACCCAGGCGCACCAAAGGGTTGGTCTGTAAGAGGCAGGATATAAGGAGCTGGGCATCAGCAGGCAAGGCCTCCTCCCCCTCAGGCCACAGAATGTCATCTGCAAGGAAAGGAGGGGAGGGATGAGGGAAGAAAGCAAAGAGTGGGGAGAGAAGGAAGGGGAAGGAAACAAACTCTTGGGACCCACAGCATCGGCAAGGCCAGTGAAATTCCATCACATCCTATTGGTGGGATTAAGTCCAATGGTGTCAGGAAAGGGTGAGCTTGGCCAAAGTCCATGAGCCTCTTCAGCCCTGGCTCCCCCATTGTCCATGGGCTCACCCTCTGGACACAGCCTGGGATTACTCTGTATTTAATCTGCAAACATGCTGCACCACCCCTCCCTGTAGCATCCTCCCCTTTGTCAAGGCAGGGACCCTTTCGTTTTGATCTTTGACCCCGGCCTCTAGCACAGTGTCTTGCACATAAGGTGCTCAGGTTTGTTAAATGAATGTGAGCATAAGTGACTGCCCACGTGGACCAAGGAGGGGCGACCAGAGGCCAATTGGTAGGACAATGGACAGGCACACGCACCACTGATGACCTGCCCAAACAACTCCTCGGGGGTGTCTCCAAAGAAGGGCACACAGCCCACCAGGAACTCATAGAGGATGATGCCCATGGCCCACCAGTCCACAGGCTTCCCGTAGCCCTGACGCAGGATCACCTCGGGTGCGATATACTCAGGTGTCCCACATACCTGTGTGAAGACCATCAGCTCCCTGGCTCTGTGCCTCCTGGGCCCCAGCCATGATCCCCAAGTCAGACCCTTCCCATGCAAAGCCCTGCTGCCACCTCCTCCCACCTGCTTATCCAGGAACTCTCGGGCATCCTTCTCGATGTGACCCTCATACAGGTTGGTGGTGAGGCTCATCAGGCCCATCTTGGAGAGGCCGAAGTCTGTCAGCTTGATGTGGCCCATGGAGGTGATGAGGAGGCTGGGGGCATGGGGGCACCTCAGAGATACCAAGCCCCATCCCACCCCACCTGGCATAGCCTCAGTGAGAGGCATTGCAAGGAGACAGATGCCTCCCACAGGCCCTCTCAGTGCCCACCCCCTGCCCAAGCCCATGGGCACAAACCTCTTCCCACTGTGGACCTTGACATGCCAATGAGGACTAGGGACTGGCTGGGATGGGAAGCTGGGGACTATCCATGATTGGAGCTGGGGAGCAGTGAGTAGCAGGATATGAATAAGGGAGAATAAGGGGACAGGACAGGAACAGTCAATAGGGAGTATGGATATTTGAGAATTTAGGGGGAGTTGAAAATAACTGGGCAGGGATTTAGGAGGTGGGAAAAGAGGGGGAGTGTTGGAGGAGTGGCAAATGGGGGTAGGGCAAAAGGAATTGAGGGGTAGGTGAAATCCAGGGGTATGGGGGACCTAGGGGGAGGGAGAGCCCCTGGGAATCTGGGATTTTGGAGAGTGAGGGAGTGGAGGCCTGGTACAGGGTGGGGCCAGTGGGAGGTGGGGGGCAGGAGGGGGTCCCCTACTTGTCAGGCTTGAGGTCTCGGTGCACGATGCCATAGTTGTGCAAGTACTCCAGCGCCAGCACTGTCTCTGCGAAGTACATCCTCGCCATCTCCACAGGCAGGGCCCCAATGTTCTTAAGCAGCGTGGCACAATCACCTCCTATAAGGAAGGGCCCTCTGTGTCTGGGGCAGGGAGGGCAGGGCCAACCTCCCTTTCTCACTATCCCCACAGCTTGTTCAATAGCTGCCTTTTCCTGTCTTATGAATCCCAACCTTCTGGGCATTGCATGCCTCTGTGCCTGCATCTCATCACATCTGTGCACATGGCATAGGGCCGTGTCTCAAAATGATAAGGGCCACATCTGATCTGGGTGGCTCCCTTCAGCAGGGCCCTGCCTACAAGACAGGGCTCCCAACTTCACCCTCCTCTCTGTTCCCTCAGCAGATGACCTTAGCTCCCCACTTTACTGAGGAGATTGAGGCCATCGGTTGGAGAGACCACTTTTTCTCTCATCTAGAGCCCTACGTCCTCATCAATCTCTCATCTTTTGCTCCAGTCTCATAGGATGAGCTGGCTCTTCTTTCCAAGACTACTCTTTATACTTGTGCCCTTAAGCCCTCCCGCTCTCATATCCTTCAGGAGTGTGCCCCTATACAAATTCCACTTCTCTCTCAACTACCATCTCTCCCTGTATGTTGGCTCCATTCCCACTGCCTGCAACATGCCCATATTCCTCTATTCTGAAAACAAAAACAAAACAAAACACCTTTCTTTGACACTGTAGCTTCCTCTAATTAGCATCCTCTGTCCTCCCTCATCACTGACAAACTCCTAGAAAGAGCAGTTTACACTCCCTGACTCTATTTCTCCTCCACACGTTCACTTTGCAGACCCTTGCAATCTGATTTCACTCTGCATTTCACACTGCAATCACTCAACTGAAACTGCTCTCAACCATCAGCATCTCTCTCTCTCTCTCTATCCCCCCTCCCCCCCCCTCTCTCTCCTTCCTCCCTCCTTTTCTTTCCTTCTCTGCCTCTCATTCTCCCCCTCCTTCCCTCTCTGTCTCTCATTCCATCTCTGCCTGTCATTGTATCTCTTTGTCTCCTCCGAATCTGTCTCTGTCTCTCTTTAACTAATGACCTATTAATAGCTAAATCTGCTGGCATTTTCTCAGTCATGGAAGGACAGTCTGAGTGCTAAAGGCATTTGGTAGCTATTTAGTTCAACTCGTGCCTGAACCAAAACACCTTCTACAATGTGCTCAACGAGTGGTCATCCAAGCTTGCTTACAAAGCTGTAGTGAGGCAGGATCCACCGCCTCGCCCCACCGGCAGGCCGTCCCACTGCGGGACAGCTCCAAGCCAGCTTTTCCTGGTACCCAGCCTCAATTGGTCCCTTTGCTCCTCCTTCTGTCCTCTGGGGCCGAGGAATATGAATCTCTCTTCCCCAACAACATCCTTCAAAGACTGGAAGACAACTGCCAAGTCCACCCCCCATACGCACACACAGAAACACCCCATCTTCTCTTCTCCAGGATAGAAATTCTCGGTTGTGTCAACTAATCCTCAAATATCAGGAACTTTAGGGTCTTCATCATCTTGCCTACCCTCTTCTGGATACTACCCATCTTTCCCTTCCCAAAATGTTGCAGACCTCAATCCAGCGCTCCAGCTGTAGTCTGCTCAGGATTGGGCACTGATCACAGTTACAGACCATCACTGCTTTACCCTGGATGCCGGCTCTCTCTTAAGGCAGCCTCAGATTGCCTTAGCTTTCTTGGCTGCCAGATCACCCTGTTGGCTCATATTCAGCTTGTAGTCTATTAAACTCCCAGACCTTTTTTTTTTTCCCCATGAGCTGCTATCTAACCCGTCCCTCCCCATCTGGTTCTTGTGAAGTTGATTTCTTGAACCCAACTACCAGACTTGACGTTTATCTCAAATTCCACCCTATTAGATATGGCCCAATGTCCAAGCCTCTCAAGCTCCTTTTGTATCCTGTCATCCACTGTGTCACGCACAGTGACATTCCCTCCACGCTCTGTATCACCTACAAATTTCATAGAATCATAGATGTCTTTCTAGAAGTCATTGATAAGCATGCTGCCTAATCTGTTTTCTAAATCTGTGATAGAATAATTCAATAGATAGACTGTAAGTTCCATGAGGGCAAGGAACATTTCACTTTTGTCGTGGTATCTCTAGAGCCTAGCAGAGAACCTGGCACAAAGTAGTGCACAGGGCCAAGCACAGAGCACTAAGGTATCCCACTGGAGACCTCCTTCCGAGGTGACATCAAAGTAATAATGATTACCCTTTGACTGTGGTCATTTACCCACATCTGAATTCACCTAATTAGTCACTGTCTACTCCACAGCTACCCATCTTTTCCATGAGAATATCATGAAAGACTATCAAGTGCTTTGCTAAAATCTAGATAAATTTTATCTAACCTATTCAAAAAGGAAACAAGGTTAGTCCAATATGACTTATTCTTGTTGAAGTCATGTTGCTCTCTGTGATCACTGACTTTTCTGGATTTCATTAAACATGCCTTTGGTGGTACCTTCTAGAAATTTGCCTGAAATAGAGGGAAAGCTCACTGACCTATAGTTCACAGATTTCAACGTTGTTGTTGTTTTAATTGGGCTATTTGCCCTTCTCCAATTCCATGGTGCCCTTCTTTTCTCCATCATCTTTCTCCACCCTTCTCCATCTCCACAATCACTGACAGTATCCCAGCAATCACATCTGCCAGTTCTTTCAGTTTTCCAGAAAGTGGCTTGTCTGGGCCAGCTAAAGAGACCTCATCATCATCTCTCTTAACTATTTCTGCACCTATCTTGCCTTTTTCTCAGCTTCTCATGGCCTTTATCATCCCTTGCTATACTATTAAGGGAAGCTAGGTGGTGCAGTGGATAGAGTATTGGGCCTGGAGTCAGGAAGACCTGTGTTCAAATACTGTCTCAGACACTTACTAGCTGTGTGACCCCGAGAAAGTCATTTAATCCTGTTTGCCTCAGTTTCCTCATTTGCAAAATGAGCTGGAGAAGGAAATGGCAAACTACTCCAGTATCTCTGCCAAGAAAACTCCAAATGGGGTCACAAAGAGTTGGACGCAATTGAACAACAGCCTGGACTACTGTAATAACCTGTGTCTAAATATCTTCCAGCTCTACTCCATCCTTCACAAAGTTGATCGTTTTCTGCTCAAAAACAGGGGCTCCCTATGGCCTAGAAGACAAAGGACAAATTCCTTAGCCTGACATCTAAGGCCTTCTACAACTTGGCTTTATCTAATCTTTTTTTATTTTTACTTCCCTAGCCTATGAGCATTCTTGCAGGGAATTCTCCATGCCTGGAATAGTGTGGCCCCCTCTCTTCATCTCCACCTTGTCATCCTTCAAATTCCAGCTCAGAGGCCCCCTCTCCTAGGAAGCCTTCCTTCTCTGATGACTTTGGATGACAGTAAGCTGCTCTCCCTTCTCAAGTTTTCCTAGAGCCTTTTTTCCAGATTTCTACATCACTTCTGATCTCAGTTTAGCTTGTCTTACTTGTGCATTGGGCCCTTCCCCTCCGCTGGCCTGTCAGCTCCTTAGGGCTAGTGTCTATGTAATTTCTCATTTTTGTATCCCCAGCACTGAGCACAGCTCTTTGCACACAGGAGATAATTAATACATGTTTGTTGATTTGAGTTAAATGGTCTTGCCTTGGCTGGTGGCCAGTGACCACTTCTGGCCTACCTTCCACATATTCCATGACCATGCAGAGGTGGCGCTTGGTCTCAAAGGAGCAGAACATGCTGACGACAAAGGGGTTCTCAGCAAAGGTGAGGATGTCGCGCTCCACGAACGCCTGCTGGATCTGGTTGCGAAGGATCAGGTTCTGCTTGTTGATCTTCTTCATGGCAAAGCGCTGGCGTGTCTCTCGGTGCCTTACCAAGTACACAGCCCTGCGGGGGGGGGCACGACTAGCATCCCTTCTATCCTCCCCCCCACCCCCGGCCCCAGCTTCCTCCTCTCTGGCCTCCTCCCCTTTCCCCACTACCTGCGTGGTCTTAGCCCTTGGCTCTTACCCATAAGCACCATTGCTGATGAGTTTGATGGTCTCAAAGTCATTCTCACCAGGGGGTTTCTTGGCCTTGGGGGTGGCACCACGCCCCTGGAAGGATGGAAAGGATCAGGGAGAAAGTGGTATCAGGGAAAAGAGAGGAGTCTCAGGCTCCTCTCAGGCTCCCCTCAGGCCCCTGCCTCTTCCAAGGATGTCACTTCTGCTTACCTCTGCAAAGTCATCCTGCTCAGGGGTGTTGGAGCCTCCACTGTCTTGGTCCTCGAGGTGAACTACATCTGGGGAAGAGTGAAGTATTAGGGAAGGAGTCCAGTTTCCTGGATCACTCTCCCTAAAACCTACCCTTTGTATATGCTAGGGTGAGGGTAGGGCAGGTTGGAGGGGGTCAGATCTCCCTTAGGAATCCATATCATCCAGTTAAGGCCCCTGGATACCCAAATCCCATTATTTTTCACCCCTACTCTAACAGAAGTGGGTGGTCCCCCCAGAGCCAGCACCCTGACTAGACTGAGCACCTGGAAAGGGATCTCGGGTGAGGCCAAGCTGGCTGATGATGTAGCGAGGAATATCTGTCTTCACCAGGTGGCCTTCTTTGGCATGGTCCTCGGCTGCTTCCAATAAGTGGTAAAATTCCTCTGGGTTAAATTCCTGAGGGCAAAAGGAAAGCTGGGCACTAAGAGAGGAGGGTATGACACCAGACTCCCTCACTGCTCAGGAGACCAGTCAAGAGCAAGGTCATGGGGTGATCCCGCACAGAAGCATCCAATTCAAGCCTCCCAGTCCAAAGGCTAGCCCCACCCTTATCCCTGCATCAGACAGAACAGAGTCCATCCCCTCTGACTGGCTCCACTCCCTCCTCTGCCCTATTCATCAGGACTTCTCCCCAGGCCTCCACCCTTGGATCCTCCCAGCTCCCACCCCCTTGCAGACCCTTCCCTCACCAGACACTCCAACAGCCGGGCTGGGCGAGAGATGATGATGAGCAGTTTCTTCACTAGCTGAGTGACAAAGGCAACTTCCAGGCTTTCTGAGCGTTCATAAGCCTGAGGGAAGAGGGAGGAGAAGCAGGGCTAGAAAGGCCTAGTAGGGGAGAATTGGAATTGGGACAGGGAAGACAGGGCAAGGCTGGCCTAAGGGATAGGAGAGTGAAAGGGAATGAGGACACTCAGGGACATGAGAACATGAGGATATAAGGACAGCTAGAGCTGGACTAACAAGGTGAGAAGGGGAAGGTCTGGGAATAGAGAAGCCAGGGAGCAGGAGGAATGGGCTCAGGCCCCAGGGTTCTCCCCAACCACACTCCTGCTCTTACATCCTGTAGCAGCTTTTCCAGGTTCTCCTGCAGCTCATAGAAGTAGACAGTGGTGATGAGGCCGTCATGGGACTTAGCCAAGCAGTCTCGGGCAAGCTCTATGATCTGGTGATGGATAAAGCTGAGGACGCCATCGGCCAGCGGGAGCACGCTCTCAGGCTCAAAGGATCGAGTAAAGTCTCGAAGCTTCTCCTCCATCTGTGCCGTAGCCTGCAGGGCAGGGCAAGAGACTGCTTTGAGGTCAGGTACTGGAGGCTATCAGCAGCAGCAACCAGAGTGAGAGCTTTAGTAGGCTTGGTCCTTATGGGAACAGGCTTCAGGGTCATGCCTGAAAGGACTCTGGGGTGAGGAGTCTGAGGAAGGGACACTCAAGGACTTGGGAAAGTAAGGGTACAGGACTTAAGGCTGTAAAAAAAAAAACCCTTGGAAAGCAGCTAACACAACCCCTCCTTTTATAGAGGAGTAGATTTGGGTCCGGAGGGGAAGTGAAGTCACAGCCCAAGGTCACACAGCAAGTAGCTGAGCCTGAATTAGAATCCTCTAGTCTTCTGATTCAGTCTTCTTCCCACCACACCAAATGTTCTCATGTGAAATGAACGACCTGAGGCTGGGAACTGATGGATGGGAATCTGGAGTGAGGGTCTTGGCAAGGGCATTGGGGCCTATGTCAGGGGTGAGGATGGGGGCATGGTGGTGGGGGCACAGCATGCCAGTCTCTTCCTGGGATCTAGTGCCATTTCTTGGAGAAAAGGCCTGCAGTGGCACAAAATGACCACTAGAGGGTGCTTGAAACTAACAGGCAAGACCAAGTGCCTTGGTAAGGTGGAGCAAGGCTACTGGCCAAGCTCTGGGGCAGGCAGCAGCTGGAAGCTGCTCGGGGGCCTCACCTTGGGAAATCTCTCCTTGTACACATGGTTCATCATCACGATCTCATTGTCGTAGGAGGAAGGGGAACGGCCAGGGCTGCAGGGAGAGGACATCTCATTCAACCTGTCTCTGAACAGGACCTTTCCCTCTCCAGCCCATCCATCTCCTCTCTCACTGCCCCCTTCTGGGTCTCTGTGCTTCCTCATCAGGAAATGCCAGCTCATCCCTAGCCCAGGTCCTGACCCTGCCCAGGAAGGGAGTCCCAGGAGAGCTGGCCTGACCTGAGGCTTCGGGAGCGGGGCCGAGCAGCGGGTGAGCGACGGCCCCCATCCTCATCTGGGATGCTTTCTGTGCTGCCAAAGTGCTTGGACAGGAAGTGCAGCTCATCCACCGTGGGCTGATAAGGGAGCTGATGAAGCCGCTCTTGGGAGGAGCAGGACGACTGGGAAGCCAATGGGAGAATAAGGTAGAGAGAAGGGCAGAAGACTTAGAGCCATAAGTCCCCTTCCCCTGTATACCTGCCCCACCCTCTGGACACCAAGTGCCATAGGCCAAAGTCAGGGATCACCAAGGGCAGAGAGCTAGACACAGAGGCCAGAGGCCCAGAAAGAGGCTCTTAGGGAAGGGCTAGAGCTATATTTTTTATAGTAGAGATGCTTGAAGCCTGGGAGGATGGTTATATGGTGGACCCTGTTGATAGAAAGATCCACAGTAAAACTGGGGATGGGGCAGAGAATGTGGGGAAAAGAAAGAGAAGAAGTGAATAAAGAAAGCTGGTGGGGATCGCTGGAGTCTCTTGCCTCCAGCCGATACTTTCCTCACTTACAGAGACTGTGGAGCTGGGCGTGTTGGTGCCATAGCCAGAGGAGGGGAGGGAAGCCAGAGACCAGCGGCGTCCATCTGCCCTGGAAACCAACCCACAAAAGCCTCAGAAGCAGCTGGGAGAGTGTTTCTCCCTTTCCATCCCTTTACACACACACACACACACACACACATATACACCTTTGCACCTTCCCCAGCAGTCTCTATGGGTATCTCCAGGATGCATACCACCCCTCAGGAGACAAGACTGCTCCAGAGTCCCTGACCCAAACCCAGAGGCAGGAACAGGATACGGTGGGAAGGGAATGTGAGGCAAGGCAAGAGGATACAGAGAAAAAGGAGAGAGAAGACTGGGGAGATGGTGATGAAGAATGGAGGAGAGTAAATAAAAGGAAGAAAAATGGAGGGGAATCTAGGGAAAGGGAGAAGACTTGGAGAAGAAGATTGAGGAAGGGAAGAGGCAAGAAAATGGGAGGGGAAGACTGATTAAGGGACAAGGAAATGAAGAAGAAAAGAAATTAAGACTATATTAGGGGAAGTAAAAAGGGAAGGAGAGAAGGATGAAGAACAGTGGGAAAGGAAATTCAAGAGAAAGACACTACAGGCAAAAGAGGAGTAAAGAGAGATAAAAGGGGGAGGCCAGGTGAGGGGGGGAAATGAAGGGATGAGAATGGATGAAGGAGAAGATTGAGGGAGGAGAGAAGAAAAGGAAAAGAAGACTAGGGAAAATGAAGGGGAAGAATGAGACTGGGGAGGGGCAAGGAGTACAAGAGAGGAAGGAAAAATGAGAAAGACAAGGGAAAGGAGAAAAGGAGCAGAAGTGAGAAGGTGGCAGTGGGGAAACTAATGGTTGGGGAGAGTCACAGAGAATGGGAGAAAGAAAATAAAAGAGACCTGGGAAGGAAAGGAGGAGAGATGAGAAGGGAGGAAGACTATTAGGTAGGGGGGATGTGAGACCGTAGAAGAGGGCAGGAAGAGCAGAGGGAGACAATATACGCAAGACTCCATCCTCCTTTCCTTCTCTCCTTCTCTCTGTTTCTATCTGTCTCTGTCTCTATGTCTGTTTGTCTGTCTGGCGCTGTCTCTGTCTCTCTCTCTCCCCCTTTCTCCCCACCTCCACGTATAGTTCCTACTGTCTCCATCCCCCTACACATACAACTCATCCCCACCCCTTCCTCACTCAGTTTTCCCCACTCACTTTATACACAAGGTATATTCTAACCCTTCATGTACTCAGAGCCCCCATTCTCAGACACAGTTCTCCCTATACCGTCTCACATACATTCATACATGTGCCCCTGTCCCCTCTTGTATCCTCTCACTCACATGCCTCCATCCCTTATCTCTCCCACAGCTCCCTATTCCCCCTCATGCATCATGCTCATGCATCATGCTGTCTGCTGTCCCCCTCACCCTCACTACTATGCAGATTCCTATAAGCCCTCAAAGATAGCTATCGCTAGCTCCCTTGACCTGCACACCCACTCCCAGGTTCATTGCTACTCTCTTTTCTCTCACACACAGTCATCAACTCAGTCACCCAGGTTCGAAACCTTGGTCAACCTCAATTCTTCATTCTCCTTCATCCCTAAATCCAGTTGGTGGCCAGATCTGCTCCTTTCTCTCCAGGCCCTCATCACTTCCTGTCCAGATGTTAGACTAGCCTCCTGACAAGCCTCCCTGCCTCCAGTCTCTTCCTTCTCCAATCCATCATTCACACAGATGCCAAATTGATATTCCTAAAGTGAACATGTCACTCCTTGTCTCAAGAAACTTCACTGATGCCTTGTTACTTCTCTGACAAAATACTCACATTTCCAGCCTTTCACAGTCTAGCTTTCCAAAGCCTTCACCTTCCTATGTCTCACACACCTTTCATTCCATCCATACTGTCCCACCTGCTCTTTCTTATATCTGATGCGCCACCTCCCATCTCTGTGCCTTGGCCCAGGCTTCCCTCCTCAGCATACCCCTTGCACACTTGCCTAAGAGGCTTTCCTGTTTCCTACAGATGTTAATGCTTCTCCCTAAATTCCAATTTCTTTTATATATATGAATATAGACATAGTTGTATTTACTTATCTGGGTACATGTTGCTTCCCCCCAGTAGAATGTAAACTTCTCAAGGGCAGGGACTGTTTCAGGTTTGTCTTTGTATCTCCAGCACCTAGTACAGTGCCTGGCACACAGTAGGCACTTAATAAATGCTTGTTGACTTGATCTGAATTCATCGGTCCCATCTCCCCCATACACACACACACACACACACACACACACACACACACACGGCCTCATTCCCCCTATCCCACAACTCACATAGACACGGTCTTATTTCCTCTTTTTCAAGTACATACACATTCATACCTCAAGCCATCTCCTCTGCCTCCCTACACACATTCATTCACACACTGTCCTTTAACCCCCTTCCCCAGGAACACCTTCACATAAGGCCCTGCACTTCTCATACAGCCCCATCTTCCTTTCAGCCACAAAGAGCCCCTGTTCCTCATACACTCACACAACATATACACTCATATGCATATATAAAGCACAATTAGACCTTTACCAAACACACTCAACCCACCCTCCTCACCTATCCCCACCTCTCTCTGTTACAACCATCCCTATCTTCTCTCTCTCTCTCTCTCTCTCTTTCTCTCACTCTCTCACACACACACTCCTTTCTCTCTTTCTGTCATACACACACACACACACACACACACACATACAGGCACACACACACATACAGGCACACATATACATACCCCTCTCATCTTTTCCTCTCTTATAGAACCCCTTATTCTTTCATGCTCACCTCTCTTCCCCTACATGTACCTTCTCATACATACTTATATGTATCATCCCCACATACCTTCATATGAATCTTCATCTCATTCCCTCTTAAACTTTCATAAATATCACTATCTCCCTCTCTCACACACTCATATACATCCTCATTACTTTATCATACACACATGTCCTCATCTACTCTTAAAGACACACACTCAGACATGTTCATATTCCTCAATACTCATGTATTCATGCAAGTTCATAGCCTCATATGGACTCATATTTGTCCCTATGCCCATTCTTTCCCTCACAGACACACCTCACATGAACATTCCTACCTACATCTTTCTCACATGCAGACCCTCTCTTCTCCCGTCATACACAGACTCCCCTGGTCCCTTTCACACACATAAACCCCCCACATCCCCTCACATTGCCTAATCTCCAACAATATAGACTACTGTTCCTCCTTCCCCATACCCAAGTTACTCGTAGCCAGTCTCCTTCCTGGTCTCCCTCCCTTCCCCTCTTTTCTCTCACATGCTACCCACATCCCCATATCTATTTTCCTTCCCCTTCACACCTTCAATATACTGTCACCATCCATCCTCTTTATTGCCCCCTTACACAACACTCATCCTCCTCTCCTCCACACCCACCCTGCCCCTCCCCATCCTCCCATCTCCTCTCCCCACACACCTATTTCTTCCTCACATAAACCTGTATCTCCCATATTCCTCTCTTGTACACAGATCCATAGCCCCATTGCCCTCTCCCTCTACAACAACATTGTCCCCTCTCCGTCACACACAATATAGATGCCTCTTCTCTTTCTTACATCCAGACAACACCCATTCCCCTACTCTCTCCTCAAGCACAGACTCTCATACACACGTCCTGAAGCTCCTTTTATACTACCCATGCTTCTCCCTCCCCTCTCCTTTCTCTCTTACATACATACAAACACTGCCCATTCTCCCTTCTTCCTCATACACACAATCTCTATTTTCCACCTTCCCACACACAGCAGTAACTCTTTGCCTCACACACACCCATCTCACTTTTCTCCTTCACATTTACACACCCAGTTTTTCTCCCACTTTTTATACCCATCCTTCTTTCCACCCCCACTGCACTCCCCTTGCCCCACTTTCTCACATACACACACATAATATCCATCCCTTTTCTCTCTCACACACATCCATAACCCTATGTCTCCATTCTCTCTTCCCCTCACAATAGCCATGCCCCTTCTCTCTTCTACACAAAATCCCTGGTACCCCTTCTCTTCTCCCTACATCCTGTACATTCTCTTGCACATCCATCACACAAGTATACCTGTATCCCCCTTTCTCTCATCCCCTGGCTCTCTCTTCCCTACACGTATCCCCCCTCATATCTTTCCTCTCATAAACTCATTTTCCTCTCTCACATATGCATTCCTCTATCTTAATCATATACACATTGTTATACCTTTCTCCTTCCAATACATGCATATCCTAGCCTCATTCTACCTCTAGCATATCCCTTCCCCCTCACACCTATATCTTATCCCATTCTCTCTACCCCCTACAAGTCTCTCTCCCTCCCCCCACACACACTCCCATTTCTTTTATATACTCCCCAAAGATTACCTCTTTCTCACTTTCCACAGAACACCATGCTCTCCCCAATGAATTCCCTTGTCCCCCTTCTCACACACATAGATCTCCTTAACCTTCTCTCACTGAACAGAGATCCATGTCTCTTCTAAAACACACAGACCACCCCTCCTATGCCCCTTCTCACAAAGACTCCCATTCCCTGTCTCCCACATACACACAGACCCCACCCATCCCACCTCTTATCACATAAAGACTCGCCATCTCTCCTTCTCATACACACATTCAAGCGCCTATTCCTCTTTCACATACCTCTACCCTTCCTCAGTTACCGCACACACCTCTATATACCATCCCCCTTCTCCTTCACATACATATCCATCTACTCTTTCCATCACACACACACACACTTGCTCAAATTCATCCCCTATCTTCCATACACATATGCCTTCTCTTTTCACACAATCCCCCCACAAACACACTCACATCCATCCTCCATCTCACAAACACCCCAGTTCTCCCCTCACATTCATCTCTCTCTCACAACCCCTCTCACACGTATCCATAACCCTCTCTCATATACCTGTTTCTCCTCTCTCACATACATATATCTATCCCTTTTTTTATATTCCCCAGTTCCCCTGTCTTACATCTAAGATCCCATTCCCATCTCTATGAATATACATGCCCCA